ATATATATATATATATATATATTTATATATATATATATATATATATATATATATAAAACAAAAATAAATATAAAAATATATAAAAAAAAATAAATAAATATAGAAAAAAAAAAAATAAATAAATATAAAAAAATAATAAAAATATTAAAAAAAACTTTAAGTTTTAAAAAAAATATATATAAAAAAAATAAAAGCAAAAATAAGAATATTAAATCTAAATTAAGGAAAGTTAAACGAAAATAAAATTTAAATAAAATAAATTTAAAATAAAATAAATAAATAAAAATAGATATGATTAAAATTGAAAAAAAAAAAATATAAAAGAATGTACATAATTTATAAAAAAATACAAACATTTTAAAAAATAAATTGAGTTTATATAAGTTAAAATATGCAAAAAACACTTAAGTAAAATGCTAACAAAAACTTAAAAATAAATACAGATCAAGTAATAGAAAAAAAACTACAACTTTATTTAAAAAATAAATAAATAAAAATGTCGTTAAAGTTTAGGTAAATAGACAGCAACAACGGTTTTAGACATAAGAACTGAGTTTTCTTAAAGAATTTAGTTGGCAAATGAAAATAGGGAAAATAGGGATAACCTTCTAGTGCGCTATGATGTAGAACTTAATTGCATTTGATTCATTAAAGTCTAATCTGGAGTTTGACTTTTGTTTTTTCTCCTTTGCAGATTATTCAGCTAACAAGCCAGGGGATCATCGTTGGCGGCGTAGCCAGCGACGGATCAGAGTCAATTGGTGGAATAGGAGCGGGAGGAGGAGACGGAGGAGGAGTTGCTGGTGCTGGTGCTGGAGTGGGCAGTGGAAGTCCACAGCACAAATTGCTGGGCATTGGGGATAGTACGAGCGGCGCTGGCGCCGTCAAACTGCGCAAGCACAGCGAACGTTCAACGCCGGACGCCAAGACGCACGCCTCCTATCGCATCTCCATGGCCAATCTGGAGGATACACAAGAGTCCGAACTGGATCTGATACTCGGCGAGCTGAGCTTGCTCGAGGCGCAGATTAGCTACGGCGAGGCGAGCTTTTTGCCTGGCGTCGCCGCTGGCCAAGGGCCAGGCGCTGCAGGTGGTGCGGGTGTGGCCTCACCTCCGCCACCGCCGCCGCCGGCACTGGCCTCCGTTTCAGCGGCCTCGTCGCGCACACACTCACGCACAAATAGCAGCATATCCGGGGATGTGAGCACCACATCGTCCTCGTCGGGCATATCCGAGAATGGCAATGGGACTGCTGGCATGGTGGCCGGTGGTGCTGGTGGTGGCGTTGTCATCGGCGGACTCTCCGCTGGCCACATGACCATGGGAATCACGCTGGGCGTTGTCACGCCCCGTGAGCCACGCACCGAGTCGCCCGACAACGATTCGGCCTTCAGTGACACCGTTTCGCTGCTCTCCAGCGAGTCGTCCGCCTCGTCCAACACCTCGCTGCAGCAGCAGCAGCAGCAACAACAACAGCAGCAGCAGCAGCAACAGTTGCTGCTGCAACAACAGAAACTGCACCTGCAGCAGCAGCAACAGCTGCATCAGCATCCGCTGCAGTCCTCGACGAAGGCGGCCAAGATTCAGCTGGCCCTGCACAAGCTGGAGAGCGCGCCCATCCGGCGCCTCTTCGTGAAGGCCTTCACGGCGGACGGGGCATCCAAGTCGCTGCTGGTGGATGAGCGCATGGGCTGCGGCCTTGTGACGCGCCTGCTGGCGGACAAGAATCATGTCCAGATGCAGCCGACGTGGGCGCTGATCGAGCACCTGGGCGACCTGCAAATGGGTATGTTTGAGAGGACCAGCCGAGGTGATATATGCAGAGTAGTCTCTACATATGCCATATGCCATCTCTCTCTCTCTCTCTCTATCTCTCTGCCAATGCCAATGAAGATCCCGTTGAATAACTCACATATTTCCCTTCCGTAGAGCGCCTGTTTGAGGATCACGAGCTACTGGTGGATAATCTGATGACGTGGAACTCGGATGCGGGCAATCGCGTGCTCTTCCAGCAGCGGCCGGACAAGGTGGCGCTCTATCAGCGGCCGGAGCTGTATTTGCCGGGGCCACAGATGGCGCCGGGCTGCCAGCATGACGAGCAGACGCGTCACATGCTGCTGGAGGAGTTCTTTGAGACGCAGGCCCAGCTGCAGCTGGACGGGCCGCTCTACATGAAGGCCGATCCGAAGAAGGCCTGGAAGCGTCATCATTTCGTCCTGCGCCCCTCCGGCCTCTACTACTTCCCCAAGGAGAAGACGAAGAACACACGCGATCTCGCCTGCCTGACCGTCTTCAGCGGCCACAACGTCTACACGGGCATCAACTGGCGCAAGAAGTATAAATCGCCAACGGACTTCACGTTCGGCTTCAAGGCCGCCAACGACTCGTCGCTGGGCAAATCGTGCCGTTCCCTGAAAATGCTGTGCGCCGAGGATGGGGCCACGCTGGATCGCTGGCTGACGGCCATACGGATCTGTAAATATGGCAAGCAGCTGTGGCACAGCCACAAGCTGCTCATGGAGGAGCTGTGCTCGGGCAGCGCCGGCGGCACTGCGTCCGGTGTTGGCGGCAGCTTTGCCGCCTCGATGCGCAGCGAGTCGATAAGCAGCATCTCGTCGGCGGTGCCATCGCAATGTGGCAGCGTCTCCTCGGCCATTAGCAGCATGTCGAACTCGAGCAGCGGCCGCATCTCGCGCGCCTCCAGCTCCAGCTCCAGCGGCTGCCTGTCGGATGAGAACAATGCCTTCGACTCGGAGTTCACCACCGGCACCATAAAGCGCAAGCCCTCCATGAAGCCCAATCTGCCGCTAACCACAATGACGCGCCAGCTGAAGGAGGTGGGTGAGATTACGACCGGACCGGTTGCCGTGGCCACGGCAGCAGCAGGCGCTGGCGGTGGCGGCGGCGGCGGCGACTCGTCTGCCTCGCCAGAGCGCAGCGGCACGCTGACCCGCCGGCACAGTCGCCGCAAATCGCAGGAGAGCAACGGCAGCAGTGGTGGCACGCTGAAGCGTCGCCCGGTGGTGCCGGTGAATGCGTCCGTGAAGCGGGATGTGATTGCATCCGTGTCGGGGTCAATGGCAAACGATGGCAATTCGTCGTCATCATCGAATTCGACGCCGACGCCAACGCCCAGCATTTGTGCCAAGCCGCCGCCGGGACTGAGCGATGTGGAGCTGATGTGCTCATCGACATTGTCGTTGGACTCGCTGCCGCCACCGCCGCCGCCACCCGCTCTGCATGCCGACGAACAGGATGTGTATGGGTCGCAGCTGTCGTTGGCCTCGCTGCCGCCACCGCCGCCGCCCGAGGAGGTGCTCGCCTATGCGGAGCCCACCTCACCACTGACGCCCACGCCCATGTCCATGGCCATGGCCATGTCGATGGGCATGGTGATGCCCAACAGCAATGGCACACTGCCGCCGGCGGTGCCCGCCAAGCCCATCAAGCCAGCTGTGAAGCAGACACTGAAGGCAGCGCCGCCCTACAAGGCACCGCCCGACTACGTGGGACCAGCTGCCGCCCAGTTGCCGCCGCCGCCGCCGCCCGTTCAGAAGAAGGTCTCCTTTGCCGACTCGCCGGTGCTGCTGCGTCGCAAGATGTGCTCCCCGGAGCCCCAGCTGCCCATGCGCTCGCCCAGCACAACGCTCAGCAGTGGGTCGGGCAGCAGCATTGGCTATCCGTCGCAGTCGCATTCGCAGCCGATATACTCGCCCGGTCCGCTGTTGCCGCCGCGCAGTGATCTGTCCCGGCTGTCCGGCTGCAGTCAGAATGGCAGCGATGTGGTCACATCGCCGAAGCGCCTGCAAGAGTCTGCATCGAATCCGCCGCGCGACTTCCTCAAGGATCTGCAGCGTGTGATGCGCAAGAAGTGGCAGGTGGCACAGAAATGCAAACTGGAGCCGGCGACCACGCCGCACGAGGTGCTCGGCTTCCGTGACTTCAACAATGAGGATCTCCTGGCGGCCCACAATCTGAACTCGGGCGCCAACAGCTCGCACTACTATCGCGAGACGGCGAACGTGAGCCACTGGGTGCAAGAGCACTACGAGTATGCCCACAACGAGTACGCGCTCTACGAGAACGTGCATGCCCAGAGCAATGGGGCGGCCGCAACGGCAATGGGCGGAGCTGGAGCCACTATGCTGGATGCAGCTGGTCCGCCGCCAGTGCCGCCGCCAGCCGCTGTGGCCGATGCAGCGGCGGCGTTGCGCAAAAAGCGTCCGCCGCCGCCGCCACCAAAACGCAGTGATTCGACGCATCTAACGCATCGTGTCTAGAGTTAGCTCCAAGGCAGTGAGTAGAGGAATCTTTAGCTTCATACAGAGCCAAACTAACCTCTCTCCCTCTCTCTCTCTCCTACTGCAGCTGTCCACTATTGGCGTCTGTCTGCTGGATTCAATGATCCTGCAACAACAACAACAACAACAACAATATCTATGTGTCTAAACTTAAGTGCAAAAACAAATTCCTAACTATGAGCAAGAGAGAAACGAAAGGAGCCCTAAAATACTAGTGCATAAGTCTGGGTGGGGAAAGGGGCAGCGACACGCCCATTTCTCAAGTATTATATTCAGTTGAGCTTGTTAAATTATTTTATTTTTTCCGTGTGTGTGTGTGTGTGCGGCAAAACTCTCGCTCGAAATGTTTATAAATTTATGAATCATATATAAATGTGCATACATACATACATACATATATATACATATACATATATATATATACACTGCCCCAAATGCTATATCAAATTTATTTTTTTAATAATATTCTTTCATAAATTATAAATTTAATTGTGCCCAATGCTTAGCGTTAATCAATGAGCATTAATTTTTTTTAACACATTTAAGTTTATATCAATATTGTTATTATTATTTTTTGTTATTTTAAAATTGATCTTTAAGCTATTGTTTTTTTTTAAATTAAATTTTATTTTTTTTGTTTATATTTGTATATTAATTGATTTGCTTTGTTTATTATTTGGCTTGCATCAATACAAACATTTTAAAATTATGATTATTATTATTATTTTATTTTATTTTTTTTTTGCTACTATTATTTTGTTATTAGCAAATGTGAAAGATATTTAAATATCGAATGATCTTTTATTATTATTATACTCTTGTTTAATTTTGATATCATTTATTATATAATCAAAAATCGAAATTTGTTCCCAAATTATTTTATGTAGTACTTAAGCTGAAGGCAATGCTCATTAATTATTGTTAAGCTCGCATTGGGCATATGCAATTCAAAGTTGTTCATAATTCATTATTCATTGTGCATTATTATTCATATGTTGGCCCAAAGAGCCAACTATTTTTGGCAGTGTATCGCTATCATCGTCAGATCTACAACTACATACATACATATATCTGATGTTTATATGAATATATCCAAATTGTGGATTCTCTATCAATATTTTGATGAACTCTTGATATTAATTTAGTCGCAACTATTCTTTAAGCTCTTATAAATTTATATATTTGTTAATTAATTTTCGCATTTTTCTATTGTTGCCGCACACATTTCGAATGATTCGTAAATGCAAAATCAAATTATACAAAACATAAAGGAAATATATATATATACATATATATATATATTTTAAGCTACTTTGTAGATTGTAAAAAAAAAGAGAAAAACAATTTTTGTTTTGTACCATAAACAAATATACGTATACCTATATAAATAATTAAATACATTTTTTTTTTTGACAGCTAGAATTTGTTTATATTTTGCATTATTATTATTATCATATATACATATTTTTTTGTGTTTATCATTATAGTTAACGGTTAATATGCAATTTGTTTATGCAGCGCATGAAATGCGAGAATGGGAAATAGAATTGAAAATCTAATCAAGAAGAAGAAAAGGAAAACTATGTTGCAAGCAAGCCTTATACAACTATTAATCAATTAAAGCATCATATACATACATAATTATTATATATATATAAATATGAATTGATAAGTTTATAAACGTATGTATGTATATGTATACATAGAGAATGTCATTACGAATTTGCTTTCGCTTTAGCATTTGCATAACGCTGCCTAAATATGTTTTGGAATTGTACTTACCACAATTCTGGCCAATAACTATATGTATATGTATATGTATATGTATATATATAGATAGCTATCCAGATACTATATCGCGCTTTTGATTTTTGCATTGATTTTTGGCATTTAGCAGGCGTTCCTAATCAAATCAGATCAGAGCTGAATATGTAATCAAATTGTATCGACTATAACTGTAACGTGTATAACTGTAATTCGGAACTGATTTGCCATGTTTAGCATTTTGTTGTATAATCTTAGCTCGAAATCCAAACTATTTAGCATAACCCATCAATACAGCAGCCATAATAATGATCTTTTGTTGCCTGATTGATATGGACTATATATATGTACATATATCTGTCTATATATACATATGTATAGTTGTGTTATCATGTCGCATCGTAAAGCTTTTATAATTAAATGAGGCCATGCAAATAGAGATCTATTTAATGTCTAACTGAACTAAATTTTGAATAGTATTACGAGAGACTAGAACCAAGTAGAGCAGGACCTCTTGTGGGCAATTGGCGGCTGCAAGGATATGCAATGAAATGAAAGGATTTGATGCAGTAAATATGAATATTATAATTTGGATTCTGTTTTATGCTATGGAATATGAAATAAATGCTAATTAATTTACTTTACTATATGTAAAAGTGCTAGGGTATGTGCTTATATAAACACATATATATATAGACATGCATATATATATATATATATGTAACTAAAGGAAATGCCAATTTTTGAAAGCTTGCATAAAAGTAATGAATGAAAAAAAAAAAAACATTGAATTTATATGGAATACATGAAGCTATTTTTTAGATACTATTATTATATAGGTACACTGAAAACAAAATTGAGTATATGTATGTATAAATGCTATGCTTCATAAGAAATGTGCCATAGGCGCATAAGATAAAAGATAAAAAAAAAACCATTATATTAAAAAGCAACAAACAAACTTGCAAAATGCTAAATCAATGTACTAAAAACTTAATTCAATTAGTGTAAGTTATATAAATAAAAATAAAAAATATTTATATGAAAAATGGGAAAACAACAACAAATACTTTTATAGCATAATACTGAAAAATAAAACTAAAATTTCGAAAATACTTTAAGTATGTGCAAATTAGTGGATTTTTATAAAATATACAACAAAAAAAAAAAAAGGAAAAAAATATAATAAATTATAAAAATAATTTCTAATTTTTTTTATTGGAAATTTATTCAACGCTTTTTTACCAAATGGAATTTTTTGTCAATGTTTGTTGTAAACCTCAAGTAAATCAAAACAAATGCAATACACAGACATAAGGCAAAAATACTACAAAAAATATGCTAAAAAAATACAATATTTAAAAATAAAATGCAGCCACAGACAGAAACAAAGAAGAGACTTAAAAACATAAAAACAAAATCAACTTCATTACAAATAAATATTTAACTAAGCAAAAAAACAAAAAAAATGTATGAATTACTACAAATTTACAAGAGAAAAACAAAACTATAAACTAAATATAAAAAAAAAAAACAAATACAAACTACAACCTACTACAACTAATTAAAACTAAACAAAAAAATACAACAATAAAAACAAAAAACAAAGCAAATATATAAATGTAAAAGAAACAAAGCATAAAAAAACAAAAACAGAAAAAAATATAAATGAAATTTTTTGCAGGTCTATTATATAGTGAAAGAATGTTGCCATTTGATACGATTTTTTTCCAACATGACATTTAATATATATACATACATATATACCTTATATTCCGATTCAAATGGAATTTTTGTAATTTTGATAAAAACATAAAAAAAAGATCGAAAAAAATCACATTAAAAAAGAAAAACAACAACTAAACTGCGAAGAAAATGTGTTGAGCGAATTGCAATAAAGAAAGAGTAAATGCAGAAAAAAGCCTAAAAAGTAAAAAGAAAAAAAAAAAAACAACAACAAAACAAACAAATATATATATAATCAAATGAGTTTTCTTTATTTAGTTTTTCGAAGCTTCATGCGAAGGCAAAGAATCTTCGGAGATGTGCGTCCTTTTTGATTTCAGCCTCTGGGAGTTGAACTCGATGGGAGTTTTGATAATTTCTTATTATTTAGATTCATAGCTTATATCATATATAATCGCTCAAGTCTACAGCCTTCGGTTCTATTCGTTTTGCTTCGTCGGTTGAGCGCCTTGAGTTAAACTATTCGAGTGATGCTCCATTAACGAACATCCTTTAGGAGACTCAGTAGTTCAATTAACTAAAATACACTCAATTTACGTACGCAATTCATATGTGTACACATTATAAATCGTATACAAATACTCAATACTCAAATACTCTAAAGAAAATCAGAGCGAAAAAAAGAAGCAACAGAAAAGGTTTCTGTTCGATCGCTGAAGAACCAACTCCTTCGGTTGCTCTCTGAGTTGTTTCTCGTAGTGTGACTGGAATACACCAATTTGTCACCAATGACAGAAGCTGACTTATGCCACTCTCTAAAAAAATATTAGCTCAAGTCCATATACATAGGGAGGACTAGAAGTTTGGTTGATGCTTGAAATCTATGTGACTTTAACATAAATGCAGAGAATACTGACAACACCTTCAAATTTCTGTGACTAATTTAAGGTCCTCGTAACAATCTTTCTAGAGGTTTTACTTTAGGCAGCAGCTAAGGAAAGGTAAGGCTCCAAGGTGATTTTACTTAAAAGAACGAGTCCGTTATTCTACATTGTTAGTTCATGCATTTTTTTTTCTATTTTTATTTTATTCATAAAAAAAAAACATACCGTGATCAATTTTTTAAATGGTTTCAGGGTATAGGAAAAAAATAAAAAATAAAATACAAATTAAGAACAAGTTATATTTGACATCTGATTTAAATTATAAAATATAGTCGAGTCACGATAATTTAAATCCCGCTAAATAATATACATAATATAATATAATAATAAATACATATATATAATAATAAATAAATATAAAACAATTCTATCCCCTTGAAAAAATTCGTTCTCGATAATTTGAACTTTTGTGTAAATCGAAAAAAAAATGTGATTCCTTTGTCATTTCGAATTATCGGGATTCGACTGTAGTTTACTCTACATTCAGGCTTACTTGATTATGTGAATACCTCCCTATGCTGAGTTTAATGAAATGTGTCTTTGGTGTCTGGAGAATATTCATTGTATGCCAAATCATGAACTATGAAATCTAACTCAACTAGGTATCATATGTAAATATCTATAGTTATATCTATAGCTTAGCATTGGAGCTAAGATAAGAACGTAACAAATTACGCAACTGCTTTAAGAGTGTCTAAAATCAAAGTCCCAACCCAGCAATCAGCCAACAGCCCGAAAGTAAAAAGAAAAAACTCCAGACAGGCAGATCAGTAAATCATATTACAGCTTGACTGGAGT